CTACAGCATCAATGCATGTATTCCTTGTTCCAGTACCTCGAATCTGGAAGTACACGAAGGTGAAGAAATTTTCAACTGTTTGCGTAAGTGGATTTTCTCTTAAAATACTTGGTGGTTTACAGAAAACCGCAAAAAAATCATTCAGTGTTACATTCATCTAATATCATATGTTTTACGCCACAGAATACACTAACCTTCCAGCCATAGCCAGATTCTTTACCGGCTTCCGGATGGCCAGATAGGACACGGCCCTCATACGGACCAAACACAAGATGGGCTGGGAGATGAGCATTGGTCCACACGCCTTTTCCTGCCCCCTTCACTTTCGAGTCAGACAGTGAGGGGCCAAGGGGTTGTGAGGCGAGCACGATCTTTCTCGCTGCCGTCTCGAACAACCTGTCCAAACATACCATTGGGACGATAACGCTATTTAAAACTGTGCGTGTGCATTTGTGTGTCTAAGATTATCAGTTATGTCTGTGACTAGTTCAGTTTTCAATCTAACCAAAGTTATGAGAGCATGACATTTTATGTTCGACATGAATGGCATACGTACGGGGTTATCTAGAATAAGGAACAATGGATGGTACGGACACTCTCCCTCTTTCTCTTCTTCACAGTCTGCGCAATCTGCAGACAAAAAATTCATGGTATCTGAATCTATCTACCTCATGTACAATCGTAAGTGCACAACTATTGTATATAATTTAATTAAGTGAAGTGAAATTAATCCAAGATTATAAAATCCACGCAACGACAACTAGGAAGATGACTCAAACGCTCTTTTCCTTACAAATAAAATCGTCATCTTTAGTAATGCTTTCTTCATAAAACAGCTTCCTTCTGCTACGACGTCGTGGTACCGCGTCTTGGACTTCTCTCCCGAAAAACAGCTGTTTCCCCGACCCTCTTCATCTGATCCTACACCAAGTGTTTCACTCTCAGCTGGAAGCTCTTTCACTGTTACCATCTCTGTATCTGTTGTCAACTGTGACATGGGAACTGAAAAGACCCCTTGTCCTCTGGCTTAACATTTTCCGCAGCGGAATCTCCACTTGACCTGTCGGCTGTTGTTGGCATTATCTGGAAAATTCAAGAATATTTAAAGATCATTTCTTCATTGTATTAAAGAATAATATTTTAGAATGACTGAGCTTGGCGACGCTGCAAATAGTCAATAATTTTATATCATTTCTAAATAAACTGTTTTGACAATCCTGATAATAATTCTTGTACACGAGAAGATATTGGTTGTAGTCTGCACAACTACCCAGCGACAAAGTCGCACAAATAGTTAAAACTGTCTTGCAACATTATATTCCAGGACTCTGCATTTCTATGTCCAGACAGAAATAGAAGCGGACACGGAATCTGGATAAAAAAGGGAGAAGTGCATCACGCAAAAACAGACAAAGGCACGAAGACAAACCTTGACAGTGCCCTTTGCACCTGCCACCAACTTGGCTGGAGTCCATAACGGTATAACATCTACTTGGTCTACACTGAGCGGCGCATCATCGTAGTTCTCACTCCTTCCGGTCCAAGCTGGAGCACTCCACTCTGCCTTCCTCTTAAGACCGCCTCTTCTTCCACCGCCCACGCTTCCACTTTTGATCGCATACCTGTAACAACAATTAATCTCCATTATATAAGCTTCCTAAAATGACTGCACGCGTCCTCATTCCCTATGCCCAGTGGAATCCTCGCCCTACCTGCTAGATCTCTCCTTCTCGGGCGTCCACTCGTCGTCTCCCTCGTCGTCGGGGACTCGAGGTGGCCTGGCTGTGGGCGCGACGAGCCCGTTGCGTCGCCTCCTCTGTTGTCGCACGACGAACTCCGGGACCTTGGGGTCCAGTCCTGAAAGTGCGCCGCAGTTGTTTAAGAGACTTTGGAGAGGAAATGTGTATGGGCCGGTGATGAAGGAAATCCCAGGATCCAGTGAAGCATTTTGGTAAAACCATGATTATAATATTTGAAACTGGAAGAATCTAAATGACTTTGTTTAGGAGTCTTTGCATTTTGCACAAGCGCATGCGCGCGTTTCAGATGTATATCTAGATGTCTGCGCATAAGATTTTGTGTGGGGAAGGGGGTATGTGTGCATATGAATGAAGAACAATAATTGCATAAATACCACATGTATTCACAACTACGATTTTCCAGGCAATGTATTTGCTAACCCTCCGCTTTCATAACCAACGAGTCTTACATGGATGGAAAAGCCTTCGAGATCATCGTGTTTCCTTTACCTTCTCTTGGCTTACTCTCTACATTTCCTTTTGCACAATTTCTTCTGCCTCTCGGCGCTCCAACAAAAGCTAATACACCACCACTTTTTTCTACAAAGATGGAGCTCGTAAAGGGCATCGGGGTTGAGTCCATGCAAATCACAGGCTAGTTTATTCCCCTGTAGCTATTAGCGTGTTAATGATTCTTACGCCGTCGTTTCAGTCTTTTCTCAAGCGGTGGAGGTGGGGGGGGGGGGGTTGAATGAAGTGAGCGATGCGAGCCCCAGACCAAAAAAAAATGAAAACGAGCTATTCTGGGAGTATTATAAAGGGACTACCAGAGCAAATTTAGGCAAAAAATATCATGGGAGTGTGGGGGGGGGGGGGCAAGCCAGACCAAGAGGGGGTCAAAGAGAGATTTAGGGGTAATTTACCCCCCCCCCCATGACGCCTCTTTTGCAGTTTATATTCAATTCAATCCAATGGTTTCCGTGTCAAGAGCTTTTCTTTGTTTTAACAATGAATTTCCTTTTCAGTGGATGCCTTTGTCTCCTTTTAAGAACTGACACGTCTCTACGGCCTCACTCCAGAAAATAATCCGATTCCGCTCAATATCCGACGAGAGTGAAACGGACATTCGCAGCGACACAACTCACCAAAGTCTTTCATCGCTTTGTAGTTCCTCAGGATATTCTCGAAGCGATTCTTCTCGATCTCCGGGAAGGAGAGCCATTCCTCCGTCGAAAACAGTTGCTTTGCGTCCTCAGCCATCGCCCTTTTGCGGCCGAGAAGTCTGAATGTTCCCCGAACCCAGCGTCGAATGGTCGAACGGATGCCGAGGCTGTCAGACTGAGCTGATTTGCGCGGGTCCTGGGCCTGCCTGGGGCCGTGACGTCATCATGACGTTTTGTTTTGGTCACAACCATGAATTCTAGTCTTCATAAGTATGGTTTTTATCTTTAATTGTGATAAAATAAAGCAATTAGACCAAGAAGGCCCTCGTCATAAGATACGCCTTGGTTTTTGTTGTTGAAGAAGTTTAGGCCGCTCAGCTGCGAGAGCATGACGTCACGACCAAACCGTTCGCGAGAATCCGCCTTAATAAGATTTCCCGCCAAAAATCATCGCGTTCATGATCGCTTTTACATTCAAAGAAGCGAGTCGTTACTTGAACTGGGATTAGCACTGATATTTTCTGTCATCAGAACAAAACAAGGAAATTACAAACTACGTCTGAACGACTACAAAAAGAGCCCAACACTATCAAAAATATATAAAGGCGTGAGGCAGGGCAGCCCAGCTGACTATTTCGTAACGCTTTAGTCTTTTGTTTATAGTTTTGCAGACCTTCTTTGGTCATTCTTGAATTCCAAATCTATGTTAAAGGAAATTTTTTATCAGAAACGCGATTACTGTCTAAATATTTCACATAATTCAACCTATTTAAGTAAAAGTAAAGGCACGACAGGTTAACCTAAATGCTACTCTTCGTTACAGATGTGATTTTTACCTCATATTTATCTATTCGGTGTCTATAATAGATGATTAATTACAATGATTAATATTAGGTTTGTAATATATGCGACCACACATGTGTTACTATTAATCTAAAAATGTAAATGCTAAAATGACATTTTATTCGAGCCAAGCATCGTTATTTCAAACAATATATGTATCATTTAATTTTAGATATTGATAAAGGCGGTACTATCTTTCTTTAGATAACTGACTATGATGTTTAGTTTACAATTGATTTGATGTCCAGTTTTTTTTTCATTCCTTTCGTATGCTATCAAACGAGCATGTTCAGAATCCTTAAAGATATACGTATATGATTATACTGACCAAAAAAAAATCCACTTTAATTCTCAGTTGTCCGTTAAATGTTTAGATATTTATGTTTTCTCATGTTATTCTTTTATTATTATTAGTAGTAGTAGTAGTTTCTTATCTCGCGTTCATTTCCATGCATATTAGACACGCTATATATAATTACTCAGAAAATAAAGAAACAACGCGAGGAATTAAGGTTAGCCAAACTTTTTTTTTTTTTTACGCGGGTCCTGGCCTGCCTGGGCCCGTGACGTCATCATGACGTTTTGTTTTTGTCACAACCATGAATTCTAGTCTTCATAAGCATAGATTTTTATCTTTCATTTTGATAAAATAAGCAATTAGACCAAGAAGGCCCCTCGTCATAAGATACGCCTTGATTTTTGTTGTTGAAGAAGTTTAGGCGCTCAGCTGCGAGAGCATGACGTCACGACCAAACCGTTCGCGAGAATCCGCCTTAATAAGATTTCCCGCCAAAAATCATCGCGTTCATGATCGCTTTTACATTCAAAGAAGCGAGTCGTTACTTGAACTGGGATTAGTACTGATATTTTCAGGGGGGGGGGGAGCCAGACCAAGAGGGGGTCAAAGAGAGATTTAGGGGGTAATTTATCCCCCCCCCCATGACGCCCCTTTTGCAGTTTATATTCAATTCAATCCAATGGTTTCCGTGTCAAGAGCTTTTCTTTGTTTTAACAATGAATTTCCTTTTCAGTGGATGCCTTTGTCTCCTTTTAAGAACTGACACGTCTCTACGGCCTCACTCCAGAAAATAATCCGTTTCCGCTCAATATCCGACGAGAGTGAAACGGACATTCGCAGCGACACAACTCACCAAAGTCTTTCATCGCTTTGTAGTTCCTCAGGATATTCTCGAAGCGATTCTTCTCGATCTCCGGGAAGGAGAGCCATTCCTCCGTCGAAAACAGTTGCTTTGCGTCCTCAGCCATCGCCCTTTTGCGGCCGAGAAGTCTGAATGTTCCCCGAACCCAGCGTCGAATGGTCGAACGGATGCCGAGGCTGTCAGACTGAGCTGATTTGCGCGGGTCCTGGGCCTGCCTGGGGCCGTGACGTCATCATGACGTTTTGTTTTGGTCACAACCATGAATTCTAGCTTCATAAAGTATGGATTATTATCTTTAATTGTGATAAAATAAAGCAATTAGACCAAGAAGGCCCCTCGTCATAAGATACCTTGATTTTTGTTGTTGAAGAAGTTTAGGCCGCTCAAACTGCGAGAGCATGACGTCACGACCAAACCGTTCGCGAGAATCCGCCTTAAGATTTCCCGCCAAAAATCATCGCGTTCATGATCGCTTTTACATTCAAAGAAGCGAGTCGTTACTTGAACTGGGATTAGCATTGATATTTTCTGTCATCAGAACAAAACAAGGGAAATTACAAACTACGTCTGTACGACTACAAAAAGAGCCCAACGCTATCAAAAATATAAAGGCGTGAGGCAGGGGCAGCCCAGCTGACTATTTCGTATCGCTTTAGTCTTTTGTTTATAGTTTTGCAGACCTTCTTTTGGTCATTCTTGAATTCCAAATCTATGCTAAAGGAAATTTTTTTTATCAGAAACGTGATTACTGTCTAAATATTTCACATAATTCAACCTATTTAATTAAAGTAAAAAAGGCACGACAGGGTTAACCTAAATGCTACTTTCGTTACAATGTGATTTTTTACCTCATATTTATCTATTCGGTGTCTATAATAGATAATTAATTACAATGATTAATATTAGATTTGTAATATGTGCGACCATCATGTGTTACTATTAATCTAAAAATGTTAATGCTAAAAATGACATTTTATTCGACCAAGGATCGTTATTTCAAACAATATATGTATTAACATTGTATATTTTAGATATTGATAAAGGCGGTACTATCTTTCTTAGATAACTGACTATGATGTTTAGTTTACAATTGATTTGATGTCC